ATTTAGTTAATAATTATATGTACTAAGTATTTTCCTGATTGCTGGTACCAAGAGTGTTAATTGTGGGTCAAAGCAAAATGAAGCTATTGACAGTTTAAATCTCCTCTCCAGCCATCATGACACTGCCCATCTAGTGGTAAGAATCTTTGTTGTCTTGACATTCAAATGTAATACATTCCAAAGGCTGCATTCCTTACCTTCCATACAATAAGTTTTTTAAGTCCTCCTCACTTTCAGCATGCAAGGTTGTGTCATCTGGATAACACAGATTATTGGTGAGTCTCCCTCCAATCCTGTTGCCACATTCCTCTGCATAGAGTCCAGCTTCTCAGATAATTTGCTCAGCATACAGATTGAATAGGTGTGGAGAGAGACTACAACCCTGATGTACTCCCTTCTCAATTTTAAACTGCCGTATTCCCCTATTCTGCTTGCACAGCAGCCTCCTAGTCCAGGTATAGGTTTGGCATGACCATAATTAAGTGTTCTGGGATTCCCGTTCTTCTCAATGTGAGCCACAACTTGATATGATCCACAAAGTCAAATGCCTTTGCCTAATCAATAAAGCACAAATATACATTCTACTGGTATTCCTTTCAGCCAACTTGCTTGGATCCACAATGAACACCTTGGTACCAACAGTCAGGAAATAAGGAGACGCATTGCCCTAGGAAAATCTGCATTTGGTGACCTCTCCAAATTACTGAGGAGTAAGGATGTCAGTTTGAGGACTAAGGTACATCTTATTCAGGCCATGGTCTTTCCTATCACTTGCTACAAATCTGAGAGCTAGATAAGGATAAGGATCACAGAAAAAGAACTGATGCATTTGAGCTGCGGTGTTGGAGAAGAGCACTGAACATCCCTTGGATACCCAAAAGAACAGATATATCTTGAAAAGGATGCAGCTGGAGTGCTCTTTGGAGGCAAGAATGGTGAGGCTTCGCCTCACATACTTGGGCAAGTTGCTGAGAGGGGCTATTCCTTGGAGAAGGACATGATACTGGAAAGGGTAGAGGGTCAGCAAAGGAGAGAAAGACCCTTAACCAGGTGAACTGACATAGTGACTGGAATGGGCTCTTGTGTGTCAGGAAGTGTGAGGTGGTACAGGATAGAACAGGGTTCAGGTCTTATGTTGATAGAGTCGCTATGAGTTGTACTCGACAGCATCTAACAACAATAAAGTATTTTATATACATGATCTTTACTCCTCACATGAACCATAAAAGGGAAGATATTCTTATTTTATTTTACTGACCAAATAGCCCTTGAGATAATAAAATATTAAGAGTAAAAAGTAAATAAATTGCTCAAAATCATACAATTAATTCAGCAGTTGAACCTAAATGGTTTTAGTGACAAAGAATATAATCGATAAAACCAGTTTCCAAGAGGAGAAAGAATGAATTGATGGGATTCAGGGTATTAGTTGCGAGTGTCCAGCAGTGGGCTTTGTGCCTTGTTAATATAATTTCCTGTAAAATAACTTCATCGCCCCTGTATCCCCATGAGATGAAGATCCTCTGTTGAAGAAGTCTGGATTCAGGGGAGTCAAATAATGAGCTGGCGAGAGGCAAATCCAAGTTTTTCTCACTTGATTCTATGCGAAAGGAGTAGAAAGATGGCAGCAAAGAGGTTTTGAAATTCAGAAAAGATGATCCAGAAGATCGTCTCAACAGATAGCCTCGGCATTATCAATGAACTACAGTCTTCAGGCCTAGTGGGTAGGTACATTGTTAAAAGCCTGGAGAAGTGCTTAAACAGCCAACCACTGTGAAAAGTATTCTATTATTTTCTTTTAAAATCCAGGTAAAATTGAATAAATAGGGTTCACGAGTTGAGGAGACTCAACTGAAATAAGGATACATGAATTTGTGAACCCAAAAGTACTTTTTTATTTTTAACTTGGTTCCGCTATTGTTGCTATCCCAAGAGCAAAGAAAGCATTAGGAATTGTCCAAACTGTGAATGGCAATCAACTGTGGGAGCAGGGAAAGGATGCAAGGGGAAATTCTGATTATTAGTGAGGGTTTGCAGAAATAGCGGGTGTAGATCTTAGTCCATAAAGCCAGATTTCATTCAATCCAAATTAAATCTAACTTTCCGCCTGTACCAGCCCTAAACGCTGTCAGCTACATGGAGCTGAAGGAAAACAAGGAACCATTTGACCTAGTATCACTATAAATCTGTCAATATCACCTCTCATTGTGATTTTAATGTTGCCTGACTATGATTCATTTCCTGTCTCTTACTCTTTCTCCTACAGAGACATTTCATATTATTCTCTTCTTTACTTCCAACATTGCTCTCCCAGCCTTCCTCTTACCTAATGACCTAGCTTTCTACTTCATCCAGAAAAGACCCTTAACTGGAAGAAAACTCCCATTAAGCTTCACTTATCTTCATTTATCCTCTTGTCTACATTTTTGTCTGTATGTTAAGCCTTCCGTCTGGCAACTCTGGACTGATCATGTTCTTCTCTAAGGCTGGTGCCTCCTCTTTTACACCAGACCCATCCTGATTTTCCTACTCAAGTTCAAGTATACACCACCAGCAAGTCTGCCGTCTTTCTGAGTCATCACTTCCCCCTTTCTGCTGGATCCTTCCCATCAGCATCACCCAAGCTGTAATTTCTCCCATCTCAGAGCAAAACAAAAACCCACATCATCACTTGAGTTCAGATCCCTATCCAGTTTCAGCTACCACAATAGTTTGTTTGGTTTTGGTTTTTTTAATTTTTTATTTTGTACTGGTTTTGCTTACAAAGTTTGTATACGTTATTTTTTAAACTAGATCTTTCCCATTTCCTTTACCCACCCTGCTCTCTACCCATCAAATTGAGTGACCCTATAATTATACCCCAACCCATCCTCACCCCTCTGCTTCTACCCTCCCCCCTTGTAGCCTCATACCTGTTTTACTAGTGATCTGTTTCTTCCATAATGATCTTATACAGTATTTGTCCTCATAGATCTGAGTTAGTTCACTTAGCAAACTGCTCTCTACTCCCTCCCAAGTTATATAATAATTGTTGAAATCATTGCTCCTACATGCTACGTAGTCATCCATCATATGAATGTACCACAATTTCTCAATCCGTTTGATTGATACCACACAATATTTGTTTCTTTCTAGAAGAGCACCTCAAAAGAGATGTCTGGAAGGCAGCTATGCTCACCACTATATCCCTGATGTTGAACACAGAAATCTCATATGACCTAGCTATTCCATTGTTAGGAATATACCCCAAGGAAATTAGAACTCAGATACCAACAGAATGTGTACACCAATGTTTATAGCAATGTCATTCACAATAGCAAGAAAATGCAAACAGGTTAGATGTCCATCAACAAACAAATGAATTGAGAAACTGTAGTACATCCACACAATGGAATACTATGCAGCAATAAGGAATAGTGATTTCTTAAAAAATAAAATAAAACATAAAATAGTATATAAAACTTATAAAATAGTATATAACATGGGAGAGTCTCCAGATGCTCTGCTGGGGAAGGAGGGCCAATCTCCTCCTGTACCAGTCAGATCTGATTTGACAGTACACGCACACAAAAAACAAACAAACAAAAAAAAACATGGAAGAGTCTAGAAGTCATTCTGCTGAGTGAACTAAGTCTCATAAGGACAAATATTGTATAAGACCATTACTATAAAACTAGAAGGATAACTAGTAGGATGTGTATATAAATGTCTAAAAGGGGAAGGAGAAAGGGGAACGAACAGGGGACAAAAAAGGGAAGAGCTGTGTAAACCACTAGGAAAATAGAATTTTGTGGGCTTATTGGGTTGAAGGGGAAGAATTCAATGAGGACTCAAGAAGACAGGGTAATAATAAATCTAAGCAATCAAATTAAGACAGACTAGAAAATAACAGGCATAAATTAATAATGTTGTTGTTGTTGTTATGTGCCATCGCGTTGCTTGTGACTCATAGTGACCCTATATACAAGAGCTCTAAATGCTGCTCTACCCTGTGCTAGCCTCGCCATCTCCGACACACTCATTCCCACCACTCCACTCACAGAATCGATCCATCTCATCGAAGGTCTTCCTCTCCTGCGCCGTCCCTCCACTCTCCCAAACATGATGTCCCTCTCCAAGGACCAGTCCCTCCTTGCAACATGCCCAAAGTATATCAGATGAAGCTTCAGAATCCTTGACTCCCAAGGAGCGTTCTGGCTTCACCTTCTCCAGGACAAACCTGTTTGTTCTCCTAGCAGTCCACAGTATAGTCAACACTCTTCTCCAGCACCACAGCTCAAAGGCATCAACTCTCTTTCTATCATCCCTAGTCACTGTCCAACTCTCCGATGCATATCACATAATTATAGGGAATACATTATGAATGACTGTATGACACACAATATAAATTAATGATTACATAAAGCACCGTGTCCATGAGTAAAACACAATGTATATTAATTATTTTATGCAAACCAATTTAAAAAATTTTAAAAGAGCTCTCTGTACTTGTACTCAAATTCTTATCCTTTTATTTACTTGTACTTGTTCTTCAATCAGATTCCACACCGATTACATGAAACTTCCTCTCAATGGCCTCTTGTTGTCAAATTCAGTCACCTCTTCTCACCTCTCACCTTCCTTGATCTATAGGTACTTGACACATCACCTTCATCAATAAAACTTTCTTGCTTGGCTTCCAGAACACCACACTCGGGATTTTTCCCTTTCTCAGTGACCTCTGTGTCTTCTTTGCTGGATTTTCCTAATCACCTCAACCAAAAAGCATCAGCAGTTAATAGCCTCATTTCATAGGCAATGCCTTTAGTTTTAGAATAAACTATCTGGTTCTTTACACAGTTTCACACAAACAACGTGCTTTTGTAACTCTCTCTTGTCTATCTGTAATTTAATTAGCTTTTATTCTCTAAATGTGGTGAAGGGAGACCATTTTGGGATTGCCGGGCCTAATATCCATAATCCGGTCACCCATTCATCCTTGTGTGTCTTCTTTGTTGTAGCGTGTTCCTGCCATCCAGTTGGATCAGCTGTCCTTCCTTTCAACTCAGTGACCTTCTGTGACCCCAGCAATGGTGACTGCCCTTGCAAGCCTGGGGTGGCAGGGCCACATTGTGACAGGTGCATGGTGGGCTACTGGGGCTTTGGAGACTACGGCTGCAGACCCTGTGACTGTGCTGGGAGCTGTGACCCGCTCACAGGAGACTGCATCAGCAGGTGAATGTACAGAGCTCTTACTCTCCTCTGTCTTTCAGATTCTTCTGAAAGTCTGATAGCTTTTTAAAAAAACCTTGCATGACAGTAGAACAAAGATCTACTTGCACAGCTTTCTAAAGAGCTTTATTAAATTACAAAGTCCAGTCATTTCTTATGCCAAGATTTTATAGGTGAGTTGGGGGGGTGTGTGTGTGTGTGTGTGTGTGTGTGTGTGTGTGTGTGTGTGTGTGTGTGTTAGGAGAGAAAACACTGTTTCTGGAAAATGAAAGAATGGGACTGGTATGGTTTAAATCTCATAGATTTAATCTAAAGTCTAAGACATTTCTTCCTAAATGTTCATTGTTTTCCTTCCTGTTAGCAGCACAGACATAGGTTGGTATCATGAAGTTCTTGACTTCCATTCCGTGCACAATAAGAGTGAACCCACCTGGGAGTGGGAGGACGAGCAAGGATTTTCCGCACTTCGACATTCAGGTGAGACAGCAGCTATGGCCAGACATATTTCCAGGTCTAGTTGTGTTTTTTTGTTTGTTTGGTTGGTTGGTTGGTTGGTTCTTCCAGGTCTAGTTTTAAAGGGGCCCTCATGGTGCCTCATGGTTAAATGCTCAGTTGTGGACCCAAAAGGTCTGCAGTTTGAGCCCAACAGCTGCTTAGGAGAAAGGTGCAATGATCTGCTTCCATAAAGATTACGGCTTTGCAAAGCCAATGGGGCAGACCTACTATGGTCTGTAGCGTCACCATAAGTTGCAATTAACTTGACAGCAATTAATTGGGGTAGAGATTTGCCTAACAATGATTTGTGATAAGAGGAAACACTTTTTGGACCCCGTTACTGGGAACTCTTTAGTTCTAAGTTTTAATAAAATAGTGAACCCATTAATTTTCAACTCTGAAATATAGCTCAGGGCTATTTTAACAAGCTTCTGTTCTTTTTTCCCCTGATTATTATGCAGCTTAGCAATTATATTTCATTACAATAATTTAGGTAGCTAGTACAGAAAATTTGGTCAAACAGAACATATTAGCAAAAAGATATGTTATTGTTGTTAGGTGCCATGGAGTTGACCCTACATACAACAGAAAGAAAAACTGCCTGAAATAATACAACCAAAAATCTCATGGCCCCACTGTTAACACTTTAGTGTGTTTTCTTCTTTCTAGCCATACTGTTTTACACAACTGAGAACTAGTCCCATGTGCCAGATTAAAAAATGTATAGATTATTAAAACTTAAATACAATATCACACAGCAAATGTTAAATATTAGCACCTATGTTTATAGGGGGATTTTTACAGCTACAAAACAAATCTTAAGCTTTGAGTGTAATTTTAATATTTACTAAGTATAAACCACATACTAAAACCAATAAAATTCTGATCCACAATATTAATTAATTAAATATAGAAATGATTCTTGCTCTATTGTGTGAATTTCAGAATAAAATTTTAAAGTAAAATAAACCCAAACCCCTCTCTTGGGATTTTCATTGTAACTGCATTGACCTTATAATTGTTAAAAAAATAATAGCTTTAAGGGAGCTCTGGTGGCCTAGTGGCAAGAAGCTGCACTGCAATCCCAGAGGTATGCGGTTCGAATCCAGCAGATGCTCTGCTGGAGGAGGAGCAATCTCCTCTTGTACCAGTCAGATCTGGTTTGACTATACACACACAAAAAATAGTAAGATAAATTTAAAAAAAAAATATTAGTAATTTCAAAACAGGGACAGCAGAGCACGGGGCCAAAATCAGAGTCCTTCTGAACGAGGAGTGCTTTGCAACTGTACAGGTCTCACACTCAGGAAACTGACCCTGCTCATTCACCAAGGCTCACAGTTTGCTAAAAAGAACAGATCCAGACCATGATCAATACTCTTTGGAGGGGTTTTTCCCCTCAGCCTCTTTTTCCAATAGCAAGTAGAGTCTTACTGCAACCTCTGCCTTCTGAAAAATGAGCCTGACTCAGTTCCCTTTTAAATATCCTTTGCTTCTATGAATCTAAACTCCTAAGCACTAATGACTGATTCTATTTGATATTGCTGTGTAAAGCAGAGAATTTATTAAAATATTAACTTACAAAGCCATTTGACTAAGAGTCTCTGTGAAAATTTCTCCCAACATCATATTATTAAAGATTTATATCATAGGGAAAAGTTAAACAAATTGTGTTGGAGACAATGGAATTGAATCAAGATAGAGCAGGGTTCAGAACTCTTGTGCATAGGGTTGCTATGAGTTACAGGCGACTTAATGGCACATAACAACAACAACCAGCATATACCCAACACCTACATCCTACCATCTTATAGAAAGTCAGTTTTACATAGAACATTTTGATCAAATATTCTATAAATGAATCCTTATCAAAAGGGGAGAAATGTAGAACAGAATTCTGAATTTTAATGACATTTAGACATTTTGGAGGTATAAAGGCTAGACATGCCCTCAAAATTATTATCCTGAAATGATCTTAAAACTTTAACTCTTAAACCAAAAATATCATCTGAAGTTTTCTTTAAGCAATAGTTTAGCTTGGTTAATAAAGAATGTCTGCCTTGAACATTGTGTTTTTAAAAAATTATGCATATAAGACCAAATTGACGACAGCAATTCAAAACATTAGAGAAGAAATGTAGAAAATAGTGTATTCATGTTTGTGGTGGAAGAAAAGCAAAAAAGGAGAAGGAAAAAATGCACAACTTGAAGAATGTATTCAAATGTCTCTGAATAGATAGAAATTATTGAATTGATATTATTTGAATTGGTATATGTTTTGATGTGTGCATTTTCAACAGAAATAAAAAGAAAATCATCTTCACCATCTAGATTTTCTAGGTCGTATAGCCCTGGTCTGTCCACTTGCTGAACAGAGGTAACTCATGGTTATTGTGAAGCTGAACACTGTGACACTGATGTGTCAAATGTGATAATGTTAACCATGGTGGACAGTGTTTGGTGGAGCTCCCCAATTAAAACAAGCTTGGAGGCAGGAGTGGCATCCACTTCTGAAATAGCTTGCCTCCAGAGACTCTATAAACTTGGACAAATGAAAGTTATACAAGAGTCCAGGCCTTTCTTTCATAGGGTCACTATGAGTCATCTATGACTCGATGGCCCTTAACAACAACAGCAACAGATATTTACCAGAAATAGGAAAAGAAGTAGAAGAGAAGTAAAAATAAATAGATAAATGGGTGAAGGAAAAGCAATATACAATGAAGTGTTGATGAAGCATTATAATTAATATATTTATTTCAGTTAATGTTATAAAACAATATGCATGAATAATCAAATGAAATTATAATTACAATGTTATTTGAAAAGAAAAGTTCCAATTTCAGGTTGTCTACAATTTATTAAATTGCTTTTACACATCTTTTTCTTAAAAATGGCATCATGGAAGATACAAATTTGAGATGCTTTTAACAAATCTGATATATAATTGGCTTATTCTTCTTATTCTTCCTTAATGGATGGATTCAGAAAGATTGTCAGTGATCGAATGCCTTACATAAGTGAATGATTATGTTTACAAATACTGGGTTTTGTTCTGGAATAAACTGAAGTATTAGTTGCTTTCCAAACTAAACAAAAAACATTCTCCCAGAGAATTTTTTAACCCTTTAAAAATCCAGCTCCTGCATTTCAGAAGAAGTTACTTTGCCAGTCTGTATCATGTTTTATTCACTTAATGTAATATTCTGATCACTTTCTTAAGAATTATTTTATTCACTATAGGATAGAAAGTGGAGAAGTTAAGATAACATGAAATTGTCACATTTATCTTTTCAACATTCAAGCAGATCAAAATCTTTCTGCCTTAATGTCACATAGTTTGAAGTCTATTATTTTAATGTCTTTTAGTGATAACTTTGTAAAGTTTTTTATTCTATTTTTCTAACACAGTTTCCATAACTCTCTACTTTATCTGCTTCATCAGATCTATAGTAATCAAGTAGTTAGGATTATTGGACACCCAGTGCACGTTACTGAATAGCTGGCAGTATACCGAATGAGCACATGAAGCATTGGCACCAGAGTAACTCCAGACTATGTTCACAACAGCTGTCAGGTCTATGATGTCCTTCAGAGCTTCTGAAGTTTATCTGGATGAGCACCAGATTGAAGAAGTTATTGTTCAATTTTCAGCTAACCAACATTTCCTTGGGTATAAAATAGTTCTCTTCAGCACCCTTTTCAACTAGTTATAATTAGTTTCCTAAGCATGGTGTCAATTAAAAAAAGAAAGTTACTTCTTCAAATATATGTGTTTGTCTACCTACAAAAACAAAGCAATTCATTGACATCGAGTTGAAACAGCTTTATAGGTGACCTTTCAGCAGGTTTTCAGAAGCTGTAAAATCTCATGAGAGGAGACTGCCTTTCTCCTGTGGAGCAGCTGATGGATTTGTACTGCCCATCTTTGAGTTGGCAGCACAACTCCCTACCAGCTAGGTAACCAGAGCTATATATGTCATAAGTTTCTGTAGAAGCAGTAGTCAGCTAGGAATATAATGCACTGTATCAACAGGATACACTTCATTTCCACCACCTCTTTTGAGAACACCAGCTATAAAACATTATTTCCCAAACAACAAAACTGACTTTAAGTTGTACCATAGAACTATAAACAGTGCTTAATTTTTTAACATCCTAGCAACCCAGTATACATAAATAGATTCTTCCCCCACTCTGTGCCCTACCCAAATTCTTTTAGATTTCTTTTTCAGAAAACACAACTGAGTTTAAACCCAATCAACGAATATTCATTCACAAAGAAATTTTAATATTTAAAGTCTAAACTATGGGAGAAGGATATTGGAAAGCATCTAAAGATTTTCAAATAATAAACCTGCATAGGTTCTTATACTCTGAAAATTGAAGGGCTACAGAGAGCATTAGGAGGTCTGGTGGTATAGTGTATTATGTGTTGAGCCACTAAACAAAAGGTCATGGTTCGATTCTACAAGTCACCCCAAGAAAAAAAGGTGAGCAGTTTCCTCTCATAAAGAAACATTGCCTCAGAAATTCAATCTTCTTGCTGTTATACAAAATCTAGTAGAAAATGACCCATAGCTGACCCTCCAGTGGCTTTTCAGAGGCAGTAAATCGCATGAGAGGAGACTTCCCATCTTTCTCACGGACCATCTGGTGGTTTTGAACCCTGTGCCTTTGGGTTGGCAGTATCTTACTATTAAGGCACCAGAGTGCTCTCAAAGGCAGTGAGTTTGGGATTTAAAGAGAACATTCAGTCACTCTGGTGGTCTAGTGAGTTACCTGTTACACAACTAACTAAAAGCTCAGCAGATCAATTCGACTAGCCTCGTCATGAAAGAAATATGGACAGACTCCCGTCCTAAAAAGGTGAATAGGCTTGGAAATCCAATACAGGGTCATTGTGAGCCAAAATCAACTTGATTTCAATGAGTTTGGATTTATGAAGAGTACAAAGTTAGGGTTCCATTGGTTTGATGGCATGGTAGATCAGTATACCATCCTGTTTTGGTGGAATTGCCAAAGGCTGTGGCTATCTGAAGAACCCTGGGGAAGCAGCAGTTAAAGCTCTCAGATCTAATCAAAAGAGCAACAGTTCAATTCCACCACCAGCATCTCCAAAGGAAAAAAGATACAGCAATTCTTTTCTGCGAAGACTTACAGCCTTGGAAACTTTATGGAGTAGCCCTACTTGAACCCAACAGGTCAGTGTGAGTCAGAATTCACTTACTGCAGTCATTTTAGGAGAGATTGCCCATCTTTCTCCCATAGAGCGACAGGTGAATTTTGACCACCAAAGAGGCATGCATGGGCTTTGGTTTAACAGCACTGCTCTCTCTAGACTACACCACCAGAGCACACTGACTGTTGCTATGGGAACATGAATTGTACAAACAAATAAATCTGTTTTCTGTAGGTCACTCGTTCTGTTTTTTCCTTTCTATTAGCATAGAATACTAATGTTGTATACCATCAAGTCAGAATTGACTTGTAATTAGTTTTCCAGCAGGTTTTCAGAGGCAATAAATTACACTGGAGGAGATTACCCATCTTTCTCCCACAGAGCAGCTGGTGGATTTGAACTCCAAGTATTTGGGTTAGCAGTGCAACTCCTTACCATTAAGCCACCAGAGATTCCTACAGAATACTAATACTACATTGTATTTAATCATTGTGTGCATTACAAACATTAACACGTGATTTATCTTGCTATATTTTTCCAACAGATCAGTATTTTATTGAGTGATGACTAATTCCATTCTGAAAAAGATCTTCTTTTGACTGACTTTTCACAATATCTCATTATACTTGGATTATTGGTGTTGTTAGGTGCCACCAAATTGACTGAAACTCATAGCGACCCTATGAACAACAGATCTGAACCTTTCACTATCCTGAGTCATCCTCACCATGTCTGATATTCTCTAGCCCATTGGTAGGCACTTTGTCAGTCCATCTTGCTGAGGGTTGTGCAACCAGGATGCCCCTTAGAGGCAAGCATGGTGAAATTTCTATCTTACATACCTTGAACCTGTCTGTTGTCAGGGAAGGGCAGGCCTTGGAAGAAGACATCCTGGTGGGAAAGGTGGAGGGTCAGAAAAAAGAAAGGAAGACCCTCAACATGTATGGATTAGTTGTATTAATTACTTACATCTTAAACAGTTATGGCACCTGGGTTTATCTTATTATTTTTTTTTTTACTGAGCTAACACATTTTTCATTTACTCTCTGTAGGTAAATGTGAATGTAAAGAACAGGTGTTAGGAAACCCCAAGGCGTTTTGTGGAATGAAATATTCATATGGTAAGTTTTAAGTTCTTGAATGCTTCCGAAAACATATTCAAATTCAAGTACAAAGAGTGTTTTAGGAAATTGGAAGCCTTCCCTACAACTTTCTCAATAAATCAAAGCAATAGTTTTGCATAATTATTCTAAGCATTCTGGTCTTAATTTAGATTTTCCAATATCTACTTCCTAAACCACGTGGCTCTGAAAACTCTCTGAATTTTGATAAATGTCGATAGTTTCAGAGGCAGAGAGGTTTCAGGCCTTTTGTTCATAAGGTTGCTGTGAGTCATGCTTGACTCAAAGGCAATCAACAACAACTACAACAATATAGTATTGAGTATATGTCCTGAGAAGGGTAGGATACTAGTAGAGTATTATTATACTATAATGGGCCAGTGTCTTCAACATTGCATTTAATGTTAAGAAAACAAAAGAAAATCAAGAAAAAAACCCTCACCACTGGACCTATAGGCAGTATCAGGAAAAGAAAAGATTGAGACTGCCAATGATTTTTTTCCTGATTTGGAATCATAATCAATATACTTGGTACCACTAGTCAGGAGATCAGAAGACATATTGCACTAGGAAAGTCTACAGTCAGGGACTCTCCAAATTATTGAGGAACAATGATGTTAGTTTGAGGACTAAGGCACACCTGATTCATTATCTTTTCTATAACTTGCTATGCTGCTGAGAGCTGGACAGTGAATAAGGATGACATTGAAAGAATTAATGCCTTTAAACTGTGGTGTTGGAGAAGGATACTGAATATTCATTCATTGAACTGCAAAAACAACAACAACAACAACAAAGAGTGTGTGTGTGTGTGTGTGTGTGTAAATATATGACTTGGAGAAGGTGCAGTTAGAGTGCTCCTTGGAAGCACAGATTATAAAATTTCATCTCATATACTTTGTACATGTTGTAAGGAGGCTGTTCCTTAGAGACATCATGCTTAGAAAAGTATAGGGACCGTAAATGAGAGGAAGACCCTCAACCAGGATTGACACTGTGACTGCAGCAATGGGCTTGAGGGCATCAGAGAGGATGCAGGTGGCACAGAATAGGACAAGGTTCACAACTGCTGTTCATAGTGTCACTATGAGTCATACTCAACTTGATTACACCTAGCAAGAACAATGGGCAAATAAGGCAAACAACAAAAAAGAAAAAACAATTGTGTCATCTAGTCTCTCCCTATAGATGTTTTGTATCTTAATAATAGAAAATTATAGTCTCTGTTGATGTTGTTATTTTGTACTGTTGAGTCATAGCTCATAGCTGTTCCTCTAGCATGTTTTCAGATGCAGTAAATCACATTGGAGGAGATTACCTATATTGTTAAATAAATACCTAGCTATAAATATTCCTCTAGTTTTAAAGAATTCCTGGGCTGGTTTATCATGTAGATATTCCAAACAGAAGGTGCCCAGTGATGCAATGGTTAAGCCATTGGCTGCTAACTGAGGTAGCCGTGTGAACCAACCCCACGGCTCTGTTCTCATTACAACCAAGGGTGACAACCAGGACAGGTCTACTGTGGCACCCAGGGTCACTGAGTCAGAAATGACACGAAAGCCAGCCACAGCAATACCAAGCAGAAATGAGCTTAAGATGTTACTGCATGGTGATTAGGAGCACAGCCTTTCCTTCTGGACAGACACAAGCTTGATTTTTGCTTTACTGAAGAGAATTAAAACTATTTTTAAAAAAAATTTCCATTGTTATTATTTTTCTGTGTGTACCATCAAATTGGGTCTGACTGGTACAAAAGGAAATCACCCCTCCTCCAGCAGAGCATCTGGTGGATTCAAACCATGTACCTCTGGGATTGTAGTGCAGCTTCTTGCCACTAGGCCACCAGAGCTCCCTTAATTTAAACTTTTCAAACCAGTTTCCTAATCTGTAAAATTGGGATAATGCTGTCTCTTTCATGAAATGAGATTTTGTTGTTGTTATTGTTGTTGTTTTCTATATTTTATTAATTTTCATAAACATTTACAGAGATTTTGGGTTTCCATTCATTCATTGTTGCACTATTCTCTCTACCCTCCTCCCAGTTTGTTCTTGTCCAAATGTCACAGTGCTTGTCAAAGCCAGTTTTAAAGCACACAGAACACCACCTAGAAATACTAGATCCTCGGTAAATGGGAGAAGAATAAGAGCACATCCTTTTAAAAGGCACTAAGTTCTCCGTCTCCTCTCTCTGTAAAATCTAAACTTCTACCTTTCACACAGTAGGGAAATCTATCGTATGGGGAAAAAAAGGCACTGCCCTAATAAAGACTGTTACTATCCTCAAATTCTAAATGGCTTTATGTTTACTAACTAAAGTACACTTACAGTATCTTGAAATAACATTTTCTTGGCTAGTATCTAAGGCTTTTTATTGTACCATCATTTATATGACCTAAAATATACATTACAGTAGAGAGAAAATTTTCTAACATGAATTCTGAAACCCAGCATTCGGGTTCTTGATAACATTATATTTCATCTCATAGTATTTCCTTATATTTTTCATTGTATTTGTAAACCTTATAAATCTTATCTAAAATTATAGCACATTTCCTTCCCTTCCCTTCTCATACTAAATAAATAGAAGGCAATTCCTGAAATGTATATTTCCTGATAAAAGAAAGGCAGGTTAAAGGGAATGGTATTTACTGTCAAAGGCAAAGAACATGACAATTGAAAGTCAGTGTGATTTTCCACTGAAAGTCAGTTTGAGTATCTGTTGAGTCTTATTATCATATAGATTTGGCAGCTTGTTATCTGAACCCACAAACAGCACCTTCGCATCTTTCAATACAGCTGAATTCTTTTCCATTACAACTTGATCATTTTTACAAATGTAGTGAAGAAGGACTAGGGTTTGCTGGCTGCAGCCTGATGGCTTGCTCTGGACTAGACTTTGCTTGTGGATGCAGTTGCTCCAAGTGGCCAAGTTGAACAGAGATTCTTCAGGAAAAGGGACATGTTTGTTCCTTTAGAGTATGGGTTGATAGGAATGAGCAATCAGAAATAGGCTATCTAGAAGGGGCGTTCAGGGTATGAAGCATGAAGTAGCTGGCTTACTCTCACAAAGGTAGTTATTAGTAAAATGACTTTAAGGAGGAAAATCGCCACAGCATACATGAATGAAATATAATGTAAATGAAAGATTATACAAAATACAATGTATATGCATGAAACACAATGTATCTGAATGGCAAAGATATTAATAAAAATGTAATTCACTATCTTCGTTTTATGTAATAATCCTACAGGCTTCCAGGGGAGAAACTGGTTTCCCTCTTCCCTATTTTTGTCTTAATGGGGGAGGCAAATCCACTTAATTGATTTGCTAATTTAATTTAATTCATTTAGCAAATATTTATTGAGTTGCAGTGCTGAAGAGACGTTGTTGTTGTTGTTATTGTTGTTGTTGTTAGGTGTGTAGAGTCTACTATAAGTCATAGCAATGCTGTGAACAATGGATCTGAACCTTGCCCTGTCCTGCGCCATACAGCTTTGAGTCTAGTCGAATAGTAACGTTGTTGTATGTCATCAAGCTAATGCCAACTCACAACAGCACTCTACAATCCTATGTTTTCCACATGATGTTCTAAGATGGTAATCTTCACAGAGAGTACCCTGAGGTGGGCTCAATGGTTACGTACCTGGCTACTAACCAAACGTTAAAATCCACTAGAGCCTCTGTACGAAAAAGAAGTGGCAGTCTGCTCCCATAAATATATGTACAACTTTGAACTCTAGGAGATGGTTCTATTCCATCCTGTAAGAGCATTGTAAATTGGAATCAACTTGACAGCAATGAATGTGTTAAATCTTTACAGAGGAGCCCAGGTAGCCCCGGCAGTTAAATTCTCTGCTGCTAATCCAAAGGTGGAGAACAACCACCTGGCCAACTGACTGGAAGAGATCTGTATTTGTTCCCATCCTAAAGAAGGGTGATCCAACTGAGTGTGGAAACTACAGAACAGTGTCCTTGATTTCACATGCAAGCTAAATTCTACTGAAGATTATCCAAAAATGACTGGAACAACACATCAGCAGAGAACTGCCAGAAGTCCAGGCTGGGTTTAGAAGGGGTCATGGTATTAG